CTTGTCATCTGGGTGGTTGGCAAAGAGCCATCTAATTCCCTTTCTGCCCATATTCCATCCATGAGAAGTCACCTTCTCATTATTCTATCCCCTACCCCCAAAGCTCCAATCTCTGTCAAATACCAAAAAAATGACTTTACTAGGGCTTCAGTACCATGTTATCTCGTCCAAGTTATTTTATTGTCATTTGTATTGTTCTCATACTGCAATACACGTATGGAGCAATGAGCAGCTAATGAATACTAAAGCAATGTGCAGGTGACCACTCCCCAGAACAAACGTAGGAGATCAGCATTATCCTGGTGCAACCTTCCTTGTACACTGCACAATCATTCTCTCCCTAGCCTCTCAGAGCCAACTGTTTAATGGAGATCTCGGTTCTTGATTTTCTCCACCCAGGTATGCGTTCCTAAACCACCTGATTTTACTTGTTTTTGGATGCTATTCAAAATGAATCAAACTCTGCCATCTTTCAATATTACATTCTTCACTCAATTCTTTTTTTTCAAAATGCTTTTGGTTCACTGTGTGATTCTAGTTTCTTCAGTTTGAAACCATTTGGTATTCAATTACATTCTTACACAAAAATATATTTATCTGTTGAAGGACATTACGATTTTTAAATTAAAGTGTGACTCTTATCAGTAATATTTTGATGCTCAATGTTCTCTAATACTCTGCAAGAAATGGAATTTCTAGAACTTCACTAAGCATATTTTATATTGTGTATCTACATAACATTTAAAAGCATAGTATGAACTTGTATCTAGGTAGCCACATAATGTACTACATTTGTCAAAATGTTTTCCAAAATGGCAGCACTCATTTACCCACCCAGATATTGAGTGACAGAGTTTCTTGTTTCTCCATGTTCTTCATGGTGCTGGGATTATCAGATGACCTCTCCTATTTGTACTCTTTGTTGTTAAGATTTTCAATATTTTGTGTAGTCTTGCTACACCCTGTGTATTAGTCCCACCCTACTACAATTTGCCACTTTTTTTTAGTATCTTTCTAATCTGCTGATCAACTCTCATGAAGTTCTTCACCTTGGTCACTGAGTCTCTAATTCTCAATTTTTTCTTTGGATCTTTTCATCTCTATAATGACATTTTTCACAATTTCCACTTCCTCGCCCATTAAAAATGACTTACTTTTAATTATGGTAAAAGTAATTTTAAAGTTCTAATCACTTAATACATATTATACTTGTTCTGGCTGTCATACAGAAAGCCCTATTTCTTAGCACTTCCTATCTTTGGTTGTTAGTTTGAACTCTGATTTACAGTTATTTGAAGAAAGAGTAGGAGGAATAAAATTTTTTTTCTAGTCTCTGTCAGTCTAATATCACCTAAGATTGTGTTGAGATCTGTGATAGAGGATGGTCTCTTGGACTTGAATCTATAGGTTGAAAAAGTTGTGGTTCAAGAGGAAAACAAAAGACGTAAAATAAATTATGATGCCTCCTGTAACTTTATGTGACTTTGAGATGAAACTCTTTGGTTCCTAAATTTTCTCACCTACCAAAATTATTTCTTGCTGGTACCCTTCAAGTTGTGATTTTCCTTTTATCTTACAGTTTTTGCAGTACTTTTTTGCTATTGTGCTTCTCTTATCAGTTGTGTACACTACTTATTAGTTTTTAAATTACTACTGTTTTGCAACCAATAGATTAGTTTCTTGAAAGTGGTGTCTATGAGCTTTTAATACATCTCACATCATATTGAGTATAGTACCTTGGAGCATCCATGGTTCAAAGGGTATTAAATGGAAAAGTCAATGAGTACATAAGTTTGAAAATAAGCGTACAGATAAAAGTGATCGAACTAAGCTTAGCAATGCCACAGAGATAAAATAAATATCTTCGTTATATTTCCCAAAACTTCAGTCTAATTTCAGTTGCCGTGTTTGCCTTTGTGATATATTGGCTGATTGTCCTCCCACAGAATAATATGACCTGAGATAAAATTTATGAATAGTGATCTAAATCTCTAATAGAGCTTAAAAATAAAGCTTGAAAAACATTGATCCAGTTGAGGGATGATAGGATGTAATAAAGGTTTATTTAAGACATAAAATTTAAATGCCACATTCATCAATAATTCATCAACTCTCAAAAGAACCTGTAGTATAATCATTTCTATTCTGAACCCTTAATCAATTCTAGGTGACATTGTGAGGAACAGATTTTGACAGGAAGTCTAATGAACAGGATCTATTTGCCTATGGATTTACTTATGGAAAGAATTAACCACATTTTTAGGAAGAAATTTAGTTTGTTACGGAAGTAAAAATAACAGTTTAACTAATGCTCAAAAGATAATTAGTGAAAATGGCTAATAAACACTAGAGGTTAATAGCAAAGTGTATATTGGAATACTGTTTTGTCATGTCTATCGTTTAACCCTAATCCTAACCTTAGCCTTTAATTTCTTAAGTATTACTTACATTAAAGAGGAGTGATTAAATTATTGCTAACTTGACAGATTTGTTAAATTTTGAAGGCCTTTGAAAATAAAGAGTGTTTATGGTGTAAAATACTGTCGGAGACATCCATCACATAAGATCTTTGACTCCTTTTTCTATTGAGTCAACGACTGATGGATGCTTAAACTCTAGAAGTGAATGAGTCACATATAAGGAAACAGGCATATGCTTTCTGTTTCCAGTGTTTGTAACACAGTACAGCCATACTGCACAAAAGTTAATTATAGAACTTTCTGATCTACCTTACATGTTCCCTAAGTTTTATCTTTATTTTAGAATTATCCTGATTCATTCTGATTGTAGTGACCAGAGGGCCCATTTCAAATATTTATATATAATCATAGTCAATGCTAGAATACATGTAAAAACAACCAAATTAAAGTAAGCAGTTCAACAAATTGGAAGTTTCAGTACACACTCTGATACACACACACACACATATAATTGATGTGTGTATTTTACATGTAATATGAAAGAATCATTTGAATTTCACTTTTCCTTCATATTATGTAGGTTTCTTTTAAAAAAAGATCCAATTTATTTGAAAGGCAAATTTAGAGAGAAGAAGGGTGGGAAGGAGGGAGATCATGTGCCAGCAGGAACTCGAGCACTTGGGCCATCGTCTGCTACCTTCCCAGGTGCACTAGCAGAGAGCTGGGTAGGGAAGAGAGCAGCATGGACAGGAATCCGTGCTCATATGTGATGTCCACATCACAGGCGGTGGGTTGAGACATTGCTCCACAAGGTCAGCCTCTTCAGTGTCCTTTAGATGATTATATACTTTGTGTCATTCTAAAATCATCTTATCCTAAGCAACAATCAATAAACACCATTAATATAAATTATTGCTTTAAAAGGAAACCATCAGGAGCTTAATAAAAATTTTTAACTTCTTACATTTTAGAGCCTTCAAGTGTCAGTTGGAGCCTGGTACAGCATTTCATATATCGGAGACATAGATTTCTACCTTGTTTTTATGCTGTTTATGGCCTTAGATAGCCACCAGGACCCCAGTCACTGTGCGTTCATTCTGGTTTACAAGTAATGCACGTTTCACAAAGCACTGTTTATTTACATCACATACACCAGAAATAATGACATATTCTTACTTTGCCTCAAGTAAGAATGAGGATTATCTTTATTTTCAAAATGCTGAAAGTGAGTATTTGACTACGGAATAGAAGATTCTACTAATGGGATCACTAGGAATAACCTAATATATGTGATTGTCCCTTTGTAATTCTTTTTTCCCTAAGGCAACATGTAAACAAATAATTTTTAAAAGTATAAAAAATATTACACCATAATGTTAAAATAGTTGTAGATGAACTCCAAACCTAGTGATGATTATCTTAATATTGAAAATGAAAAGTGATACTTTAATATTCACATTGTTTTTCAAAAATTCATTTCAAAAATTCATTTCAAAAACTCCATTTCAAAAATTGCTTTACTGAAGAAACTGAGCTGTTTGGTCCTGAGCAATTCAAAAACACATCATATAGTAATTTAAGTGAAAACACAAGTATTATAGTGAATAATATTTCCTTATCAGGTACAGTGATTTTATACGGCATTTCTTAGTGTATTTAAGTAAAAGCCAAAAGCAAAATATTACTTTGCATCCCAATGAAAGCTGTTTTGTGAATCCTTAAAGAAAAATGATTTAAAAAAATACTGTGTGTTTTGGTATATACTTAAGGTAAGTGTTTAACCTGCTCAGAGGGTCAGGTGAAACATGTGCACTATGAATAGTTATCTGTCAATATTACTGTTGATGAAAAATTTCTAAACCAGTTTATAAAATTAAGGAATAGATTATATAATTTTCTATGGCCTGTCAATTTGTTTCAAATCAACTGAACTCTTAACATGCCCAGCTTCTTTTAAAAAAATCTAAGAGGCTAATTTGCTAGCTTAAAGAAGACAAAAATGAGGGAAAAAATGAAAGAGGTAACAGCAGCAAACAATTCTAAATTAGATAGTTTACTCAAAATATAAATTTTTTCAAAGCAGTTGTAACAAAGAACTTCTGTAATGAAATGTGTGTTTAACAGTAATTTATAAAGTTAACAAGTAACTCAATAAACAAGAAATTAAAATCTTAGCTAAATTGGAAGTTACATTTTTTATCTTTTTGTAGGTATGTAGATGATATCTGTAAAAATTTGAAAAATATTTTATGTACTTTTTAGAGAACACAGATAAATCCATTGTTTCTTCAAGAAAACTGTGTTTTTAATGAGTGTTTGATTATTCCCTAGATGCAGAGGGACATAAGCCTGTTGTAGCTGATGTTTTGTATTCATTTTTAGTCCATGTTTGATCAGGCAATAATTGAATAAGAGAAGCAAACAGTTGGATACTAAAACATTGTTCAATGATAGGATATATTAACAATACAAAAGTTACATCACTAAGTGAATCCTTACAGCCAAACTATTCAAAGAATTAACCTTTCCTTTTGAATGACAATATTTACTGACATCAAGATTTCTCTTATTTCTATACAGGAAGAACCTTTTGTAATGGTTTCTGAAAACGTACTGGGTAAGCCAAAAAAATATCAAGGCTTCTCCATTGATGTTTTGGATGCCTTATCTAACTACCTGGGATTTAACTATGAAATATACGTTGCACCGGATCACAAGTATGGAAGCCCACAGGAAGATGGGACGTGGAATGGCTTGGTCGGAGAGCTCGTCTTCAAGGTAAGCAGCATTGATTTGTCTCATAATTGCAGCTCCAGCTGTAACACCTGGGAACTAATTTCATATATAATAAGTAAAATCTCGCCAACTACTAGTGCATAAGCTTTATAGAAAAAGAATGGATAACAAAATAGCTTGCTTCAAAAACAAATATTGCCTTTAATAGAAACGGATTTAGAAAAAAGTCTTTCCTTTGCCACATGAATATCGCAAACATTTTTTAGTATAGGGTATATGATAAATTCATGACATAATTTACAATCACATTTGACACCAGTTTCCTTATTAAGAAAAATAAAAAATTGAAAAAGTGAATCCTGACCACTTAAACTATATACTCAGTTTTGGTATCTCAGCATACCAGATCTGTACTTGTGTTTCTTCTTTAAATTCTGAGGAAGATGTTTAAATATTTCTCTTTACTTAGTTCTGTCAGTACGTTCTTCAATTTTTGAAACTGTCATTAAATGCATGCATATTTACTTATATCTTCTGATAAATTTTTGAATAAATTTGGGTTAGGATTTATAATTTTTATCTTTAATTTATATGTATCCTTTTTCCCCTCTGTTTCTCCCTGGATTGCTCCCTTTGAGGAGGCTAATGAAATATATTCTAAGTCTTTTTGTCTACTGTTCTCATTTTAACTAATTTTTGTTCTTTTTTGTGTAGAGATTAGCTTAGAGTTAATATACATTCCTAACTTTCACACTCTCTAAAATCATTATACCACTTCCTATTGTTCAAATATAATATTTTGTGATACAATTCTATTTCAGCCCTTTTATCATAGGTGCTTATGCGATCATTTATTTCATTAACTTTATAGTAGCATATCCTAGTTTTTGTTCTTTTTTCTAATCAATGTTCTCTCTCAGAATACAAAGCAGCAAGGGAAAGTTACTGGTATTTAACCTTATATCTACTATTTCTGGGCTCTTTATTTCTTTATTTCTTTCAGATCTGAATTCCTATCTTGTATCATGTACCTTCAATCTGAAAATTTATCTTTGGATTGCTTTGAAGTGCATTTCTATATATAGCATGCTTTTATTTCACTTACTTAAAATATCTGCATCGACCCTTAGCACTATCTTGCTCGATATCAAACCTGAGCTGCAGTTTTGGTTGTGAGGTTACCCGCTTGGAATTCTATCATCATTTGCTTTGTATTGTCTGATGAAAAGTGACCTGTCTTCTGCACCCATTTTTCTTAGGGATGGTATTTTTTTCTCGATGGAGATGCTGGTTAGAAAATTCTCTGTGGACATTCAGAGATATGAGCATGCCTTGCCTAGCTGTGCTTCTCTTTGTGTTTACCCTGTTGAAGGTTTATGGAGCATCTATGGCATGTTACAGTAATCACGTATTGATAGCTGTTATTTCAGCATATGGCCTCTGTGTTCTTTACTTTCTCATCTCTATCTGAAGTTTGGAGAACATTCCTATTAGATCACTAAATGTTTGTGCCGCACAACCTTGGTTATTCTATTAAAATGTGTATTTTGCAACCTTCAGATCCAACAATTTGCCTTTATCTGCATGCAAGATTACTGATTTTTCTTCCATGGTCAGGTTTCTAAATCTGTTGAGTAACTTCTTTTATTATTATAATAGGAAGATTGCTTTTAAGAATTCCAATTATTTTTATTGTTTCTCTTCATCTTTTATTTTATAACTCTACAATCATGTTTACACTAGTTCTTTAAAGTCTTGCTAAACTTTCAACACCTCTGTTGTCTCAGAATGAAATTACAACTGAATACATTTCTATTAGCCATAAATCAGTTCCTACTTTTCATAGTTCTGATTGTATCAGATGGTATGTGGATATTGTGGTTGATGTGTTGTAGAAACTTGTGATTATATTTTTTGGCCAGTATCCCCCTACATTCTTCAGGGTTTTTTTGTTTTGTTTTGTTTAAATGGGGAGTTACATTGCTATATGTTCATCCAAAGCTGTGCAGGTTTGGTTTTACTCACTGTTCAGGCAGGCTCATTTGATCTTATTTCAGTTCTAATGCGAATTTCTTTACAAGATCTGTGATTCTCATCAAGCTTTCTGATAAAGTGATGTAAAACTCAATCTCTCCTTCCCATTTACAGTTCACTGAAATCCTTTGACCCTTTGAGCCATCTAGCTGTTGTTTGCTCCTACTTTTATTAGGATTTTTACAATAATTTGGGAGTTCATGTGGTCACCCTGAAAATTCCAGTTTCTGATATGTTAGCTAGTAAAATTGACTTATTCCTACAGCTGTATCTACCTAATGGCACCTGAATTGGGACAGCTTCTCAGAGAGTAAATCACATGAGGACAGAGCACACCCAATGCAGTTATTCTTCTTAAAGGCTGGCTATTCTAGTCTCAATTTCTACATAATTTTACTGTAGGTAAAAGAATTAGAAATACACATTACTCATTCAAAAGTTTTGTTGGAGATAAGAATGGAAAGATCATAGCAAAAAGCATTACTGGATTGAGCAGACATTTGTGTTTTTAGGTTAGTGGTACCTGAAGGTCATTAGAAACTGAGAAAGAAAAAAGAAAAATTTAATAGGAAAGAAAGTCAATATGTGAATGATTAGGATCTCAGAGTAAATAGAGAAAAAGACTGTTAGAGCAAGGTAAAGATATTGCTTTGCTTTTGAAAAGCATCGTGAGAATGTGTTGATAGTTAAATATATAAGCAAGATGTTGGAAGACTGAAGATCATATCTCATTGCATCAAACTTGTAAAGACAGGTGATGTGTGTCAGCTGTGATGGTAATAGGTATTACGTAATGTCTACAGGAGCATGGTCCTTGCTTGAAATATGTATTGAGGAAAGTGAGAGTGAATGCTAAGTCAGGAAAGATAAAAGGATACATCAGAGGTGAGGATTAAACTGAAATGTTTATAAGACTGACACTACTCATTGCTGCTAGTCTGTGACTTTTCTTCAATTGAGACTGAATGCCCATGTGTAGGAATAGAGAGGATTAAAACATGGATGTTAAGGCTGAGACTTGGTGGATGAACTTGGCGACTGTATTGAGATGAAAGAAAAGCTAAATGATTAAGGAAGCTTCGCTATGATCACAGAGATAGACCTGCGAAATATTTTTGAAAAACCAGAATATGTTTAGAACAGGTGAAATACAAATAAGACTATGAAAGAGCCAGTATGTTAGAGATAAATGATAGACAAAATACAGGATTTCTATGGCTTAACTTTAAGGATAATAATAGAATTTTAGAGGAAGTAAAAGAAATTGGGATTTGCAGTGGCCCCCGAAAAAGAATGGCTTAGTTGAACTCAGTGAAATTTGAGGGCAGCTGACGTATTCAGGTCCTGTAAAAGTAGACACATTCATTAGTGGCACCACACACTTGTCAAAATCCATACAGTGAATCGTACACTCTATGGTAATCTGTGGTCAGTTGTAACAAATGTACCATTTACATCTAACAAATTAATAATAAGGGGAACATTCATACTTCTTTACTATTTTTCTTGAAACCTAAAATGGCATTAAGATTAAAATCGACAGAAATAACAGCACCGAATGGTGATGGTAAGGAACAAGCACTTGACTGTATCTGTTAGTGGCTTGGTAGGTTGTTAGCGTGAGGAGGAATACTTTAGCAAGGGCCACAGTTTTCAGGGCGTAAGAAACCATTGTGAAGTCTGTCTGGTAGTGTCCCTCAGAAAGCACATGTACCCAACAAAGTGAATACAAGAATAATGGAGGCAGCGTGCATAGGTTTTCAACAAATCCTGGTTCCTTCAGTAGCTGAGAAAACAGACAAAAACTCTGTGGCCACTAATAAATCATAATAAGGAGGACAGTGAATTATCACTTCTTGGGAACCCCAAATAAGGATCACTTTTGTCTAAACATCCTTATCTCTCTCTTATTCTGTGCCTTCTGTGGTAATCCTTGCTCCTGTTCTTGCTGATCTTGCATGTGCAATGGGGGTTATTGCTGCATAATATCGTGACATGTGGTTAATTATGCTGTCTTCAGTATCACAAGAGCTAAGGTCAATGGAGCCTTCACCAATGCTCCACTGTCCTTTCGTTTACCAGATATGGACTCTTCCTTAAAAGCCCATGATGACTATTCCTGATATTTTCCCAGTTTGTTTCCCTGGTCATACTCTCTACCCTGATGCCGCTGTCCCCTGCAGATATTCATGATTTCCTGTAAAGTCTGTTAGAATCCAGTGCAAGTCCCTAGTTTTCTAGCTATTCAGTTTCAAAATCCTCCCATTGTTAGTAGCAATTCAAAGACTTTGATTGAGGTAGACACACATTATGGGTATTGGTGGCACATGGAGTGCTCATGAGAGCCTAGTTAGCACTTAAAGCATTTTTGAATCACCATGACTACATATGTGGAATGAATCCACTGTGAAGGTCCACTATGAAAATGAGTAAAAGCCACTAAGTCTCATAATAAATGTCGCATATTTAGGAAAATGTTGGGGCGGAGTGGGTAACAAAGATGCAAACAGATGTTCTCTCCCAAACCCAAGACATTTTTAAATCATCCTTTTAAGCCATGGCTTAGAAGATAACTTTTGCTTCCATTTTTTTTCTGCTTCCACTCACTACCTGCATTTGAGCTACAATCATTTCTACCCTGGACTGTAGCTATAGCAGTCCAATTACTCATCCTTTTTTCTTTCTTGACTGGTGTCTGTAGATATTTTTAACGCAGCAGCCACAGTGATCCAGTTACCTCTCTACTGAAAGAAATGTGATGGATCTTTGTTCCACGCAGAGTGAAAAACACTTTTACCAACTCCTTTGTGATCTCCTTTCTCTCCCTCTCCCTCTCCATCCCCCAAGTTTATGGACCTCCTTGATCTTCAGACATAGTTGAACTTGACCTTTTCCATTCCCATCTGGCCAATCTATCCAGAATGCTCTTCACCCAGACATCGTTCCTATTACCTTAGATTGTTGAGGTTTTTTTTTTCAATCTCTGTTTACAGGATGTCAGAAAGTCT